TATTTATTTATTAAATTTATACCCCGCCCCTCTAGACCATGTCTATTCGGGGCAGCTTACAACATAAAATAAATCAATATAAAATATATATAATTATAAAAAATACAATTGCTATATAAATCTGCAAATCTAAATCTGCAGTAGCAGAGCAAGACCATGTACTGGATAATCCTGAAGTATCCTCTCAAAGACCAGCTCATTTAACTGATTCACTGCCTAGGATGTTGGATCAAGATCAATGCCAGTGAAAATTGATCTCAGAGGATCTCAGTCTTGAAACAGATCTGTATCTATGTAATAATTCAGCAGTTAGGTATTTCTTGAAAAGACATAAAGCATTTTCCCAAAATGTAGTAGGCCAAACTGGCTGGATAGCTCAGTAGTTTAGGTACAGTATCTGGTTGTGGAGGCAGTTTGGGAGTTCGATTCCCCACTGTGCTCCCTACAAATACAGCCAACCTGTGTGGCCTTGGACAAGCTACACAGTCCCATGGTGCCCCCCAGAAGAAGGGAAGAATAAATCTTTTGTACAGTACTCTCTACTTGAAAACCCTGAAAAGGATCGCTGCAAGTCAGAATTGACTTGCCACCATGTGATTGTTATTATTAAACTACTGTTCAAAGCTATTATCAATTACATTCTTGTTTCTGACATTAGTTATCTTACAATTATTTTTAAACCCTAACTGCTACTGGAACAAATTGGTATAAATATTTTAAATAAACAAAACATATAAGATTAAAAGCAATCTCTGTTTCAGAGTGTTAAACAACAATATTGCCCCTTCTATTTCACATAAACAAGCAAACATCTTGGTTTAACAGACTTCAAAATGTTTCTTTTTCTGAAGTTTGTTAAAACAGTGAATAAACAAATGGAGAAGTTTCATCATGCAATATACAATGGAAAATTCATTTTAAAAGAGACAATTGTAGTATAAGCAACTTGTACTTATCCATTTTTAAAAACAGAAAAATGAAACACTTACTGGGCCTACACAGCTCAGAACAATAGATGTTTGTTTAGCCATATTAGCAAGGGAGGTTGGATCACTGACATCACACAGTATTATGCCAACTTCTGATTTCAGTTCTGTCTTCCCTGGAAATTGAAAAATGAAATGTCATACAAGAACCCTCACAGTACATAAATGTCTTTAGTCTCTCCTACTTCTAGATCACCATTTTTAATTGCTTGTTGGATAGCTCAGTGAGTTAGGCATCTGGCTACAGAGCCAGAGGTGAGGTATATCCCAGGAGAGACAGCCTGTGTGGCCATGGGCAAGTCGCACAGTGCCTGGGCACCTCCAGAGGGAGTGACAAACCATTTCTGAGTACTCTCTACCTAAACTCTGGAAAGGGTTGCCATAAGTCAGAATTGACTTAATAGCACACAATTATTATTTTTGGTTACTACATTTAATAGAAACAGTAGTAAGCCAAGATTGTTTTAAATTCTTTAACCTTCTTTTGGTGAACAATTTACTTTGCTTAGACATGTTCCACTCCATCTTGCAAACAATCTTTTTCAGCATAAACACCAGTTGATATAACAAGATGTTGCCTCCTGTCACAAAAGATCACCAAAGTAACCACAAGAAATTATGGCATGCTATTTAAGAGAAATAAGATGCAGCAAGACAACTATGCAAGTGGTAAGTGTTGATCATAATATTACTACAAATCTAGTTTGGGAACCCTGATATATATAAGACAAAAGAAAGCAATTTCAGTATCACATTTTTGTCCAAGACAGCACTGTATATATATATTAAACTAACTTTTATATATGTTATTTTAATATACAGTATATATACAGTGGTGCCTCGCTTAACAATTTTAATTGGTGCAAAAAAACATCGCTATGGGAAAACATTGCTAAGCGAAACGCGTTTTCCCATAGAGATGCATTGAAAACCGGATAATCCGTTCCAATGGGAATGGATTGCCGTCCTTAAGCGAAAATCACCATAGGAAACATCGCTAAGCGAAACGCGGTTCCCCAATTGAAATGCATTGAAACCTATTCAATGCATTTCAATGCGGAAAAAAATTACAACAAATTCAAAAAGAGTCAGAACAAAGTCAAATTAGTTTAACAAAGGGTTTATTAAGTGCACTTATGATTCCAAGCATTCTAAACCTCTTTTAAAACATTTTTAAACATTTAAAAGACAGCCAACACGAGGCTGTCAAAACGATCGTTAAGCGAAACAGGGGGAACCAAACTGTCATCGCTATGCGAAGCAAGGTCCCAAACATCGCTATGCGAAAATCACCCATAGGAAACATCGTTAAACGGAGTGCAAGATCACTCCGGAAAACTAATCGTTAAGCGATTACGTCATTAAACGAAGCAATCGCTAAGCGAGGCACCACTGTATATATATAAAGCAACAAACTGCAGAAACTCTGGAGTAAGCTTTATGGATTCAAGTCAGGACAAAGTAAAAGAATTAATGTCAGAAAGGTACAATTTGGAACATTTGGAACTAAGTAAAGTAATTTACACAATTCATACACCTACACAAAGAACACAAAAAAGAAAGACTAGCAGATGCATTTACTTTCCCGCTAGAGGCAAAGCACAAAATGACATTTGTGCTCACTCAAGTCAAGAGGCATGGTACCCACAGCTAAACAAATTATTTTAGCAGGTCAAGTAGGGGGGAGCGTAAACCCAATTTATTAGTTACCAGTTTCAGAATTTGGCACAAGTGCCTTCTACCAGCTGATCTCAGAAATCTATTGACAAAGCAATCTGCCAGCAAAGCACAAAGGAGGTGAAAAAGGGGCAAAGTAAAGGAGGGGCAAAGTTATGACAGATCCAAACCTTCTCCAGCCAAAGTTAGGCTAGGGTGAAAGTAGTTGTAAGTAATTTCCAAAATCCCTTGGCTGGAAAGGATTTTTATTCCACACATCTTCAGTTAGACTATTGTTAGCCAGTTAGGACTGTACAGAATATCTCAAAACAACCTACTCTCAGTAAAAATAATAACAAATCCAGTAACTATGCAACATATACAAATATTTGTTGTCCTTTGATACCCAAAATCTGGTGACAAAGACAGTGGCATTGCTCTGTCTAACAGTAAGGCTAACATGCCAAAAAAGGTTTACAATTTTTTTAAAGAACCCCCACATGTAACCAAGGTAAGCAGAACCAGCCTATGTGGCTTTAGGCAAGTTGCATGGCTCCAAGATGCCATCACTTCTAAGTACCTTAGCGAAAATGGTAGAAAGAGGCACTATAAGTCTTAATTGACTTTACAGCACATTATTATTAATGCGTAATCAGTGGGACCATAGTTCCCTCTAATTTTCCAGTGTGCTGCGTGGGGGTTCCATTTCATGTGTGTGGAGTTCCCCATGATCGGAAGCAAATGGGCAGAGACTCTGGCTCAGCTGCACATGTCCAATGCAGTGTTGTGCACCTGTGCAGCTTAAAGGGAACACTGAGTGAGACTTATTGGAAATATGTACAGAACTGGGTTCCAGATAACAGTCCTTTGAAAACCAACATGTTATTGTCTTTTTAATTTTCCTTTTTGCCTGATTTGAAAACCAGCAGTCATACATAGTCACATAAACATTCTGGTTATTGGGGAACCATATGTAATTAAGATTGATTCTTCCCAACACAAACACTGAAACCTTGGGGGTAAAAAACCTGCATCCAGAACAAGAGTGTATAGCAAAAGTTGGCAGGCTAAAATGCACTACTTGTCTCTTCTACTGCAAAATCTCTTATTTCACAACCCTATTTCTTCATGCAAATATTGGTGGCTTCCCTCACAAAACAAATACTGCTAATTGGACCTTTCTCACAACCTTTTCTATTTGGCCACACTTAGTGGGGTTGATCAGAGTTGCAGGCCAAAATATCTACAGGATCAAAAGTTCTCCATCTCTTGAAATTAAATGTGCTATATTATAAAAATGCAATAGTGGGCTCTATGCTTTCTTAGATACAAAGCTGCTGAATCCCCATTTGGAATCAATGCAAATTTGCAACAAGCTGTCATTTCCTCTTATTTCTCTTGACCCCAAACAGAATGAAACTGAATTGTAACTTCATCTTGGAGAAACTGTTTATGAGTTTGTGAGCATGTGATAATTACAAGCAGAGATGACTTTATATGGGAATTAAATAAATTTATGCACGGTAGACTAGCTGGATAGCTCAGTGAGTTAAGGTTCCGGTTGCAGCACCAGGGGTCAGGCGTTTGATACCCCACTCTGTATTCCAGGACAAGAGCCAGACGGTGTAGCCTTGGGTAAGCTGCACAGTCCCCAAGTGCTCCCAAACAGTAACGGTGAATCACTTCTGAGCATTGTGTACCAAGAACATCCTAGAAAGAGACATCATAACTAAATCGACTTGAAAGCACACAATTATTATTATATATGCTATATTGATGATCAACGACAGGTCCTGACTGCTAGGCAAAACCTTAGTGGTTAATGGCTTCTGGACCTCCCAGAGATATTGGGCTGCTCCTGGGGGGGAAGCAAGATGTTGCACCAGCCTATTCCTTTGGCCTGACCCAGCCCTGCTCTTGTGCTCCTAACCAAAAGTTGCAGGGTTATATTTTTCAGGTCTGTCGCGGCCCACGTTTTCTGCCCTCAACCATCGAAGCCAGCCTCTACCTCTCCTCCGCTTCCTAAAAGGGGAAGCTAGAAGTACACAAAGGTCAATGTCTGAGCCACGTCATCCGGACTGCCAAGACCGTTCTCCATCTCTATTCAGAAGGCGAGGGCAAAAGCGCTTGGGTGTCGTTCGCCGTTAATTATCTTGCACAGGGACCCCACTCCCTCTCCCCCCCCTTTCCCCAGGAACCTCTCACACCAAGAGGGATTATGCCCTGGGCGGGGGGAGGGGGCGAGGAGAGCACCGACCGTCCCCTCAGACACCGTCGCTCTCCCGCTCTTGCTTACCCAGCTTCGCGACCGCTTTGTCGAGCACTGCCTGCAGCTTCTGCCGGTCCCTGCCCGCCACGGCCCATGACAGCGAGCCGCGCAGTTCATCCTCGGCGGCCACCCGTGCAACCTCCTGGACCACATATTGCCCCGTAAAGCCCGAGGCTCCAAAGACCACCAGCTGGAAAGGCCGCCCGGTCGCCATGGCAACGGGCAAGGGCTCCCTCTCGCGCTAGTCAGCCCACAGGAAGAAAACAAAAACCCCGACCCTCCGCCGCCGAGCGCTGCGCAACACTAAGCCGCCTCCAACCGCGAGAGAATGCCGCGAGGGAAGGGGGCGGGGCGGCGAGGGGCGGGGCAGCCCAACCCGCGCCACACCAGCCTCGGGATTGTTCGGCGGCGTCACGTGACGAGTAGCCAGCGCCATCTCCTCCTCGCGCTCTCGGAGCTGTTCTCTCTTGCCCGGCCTGAGGCGGGATAATGGAGCGTCGTCCTCCCCTCGTAGCGATGCTTGCCAAGTTATCAAGCAGGAGAGGCAGAAAGTCTCACAACCACCTTTCCGCCCTGGGGAGCAGCGCACCTTGGCTAAATCACTAACAATTTGCCACCTTCTGCCTCAGGCAGGCACCTCGCCCCCCTAGTAGGAGGTTTGAGACAGACTCGCACCCTCTGTAATCGGCCAAACCAGTTCCTAGTCTCGCCCAATGTCTTTGCGCTTGCTCGCATGCTCGGTTCACACACGTTTGTAAACCTTTTGCAGTCGCTGCCGAGGTTGTAGGATAGGGAGTGTGAGGGGGCGGGGCTGGTTACCTGAGAAGCCAGTTCACCCGGACTGCCCAGCTTTGTCGACCACTTGAGCCTCATGATTCAAGAACCTCGTCATGGCATTAAATTTCCCAAACGCCACATGGAGCTGTTCTCATCACTTTTAAGAATTTGTGCCAGAGTTTTCCATTTTTCCCTCCCTGTTTTTATGTCTCTTTCAGATGGCAAGTTTGATGGTGGGAACTGTCTTTTAGAAAACTGGTTTGTAAGCTGTTCTGAGAGCTTTGCAGTCCTGTGTGTGTGTGTTTAGTCGTTTAGTCGTGTCCGACTCTTCGTCACCCCATGGACCAGAGCACGCCAGGCCCTCCTGTCTTCTACTGCCTCCCGGAGTTGTATCAGGTTCATGTTGGTTGCTTCGCAGACACTGTCCAGCCATCTCATCCTCGGTCGTCCCCTTCTCCTCTTGCCTTCACACTTTCCTAACATCAAGGTCTTTTCCAAGGACTCTTTTCTTCTCATGAGATGGCCAAAGTCCTGGAGCCTCAGCTTCAGGATCTGTCCTTCCAGTGAGCACTCAGGGTTGATTTCCTTTAGAACTGATAGGTTTGTTCTCCTTGCAGTCCAGGGGATTCTCAAGAGCCTCCTCCAGCACCACAATTCAAAGGCATCCATTCTTCGTCGGTCTGCTTTCTTTATGGTCCAGCTCTCACTTCCATACATCACGACAGGAAAAACCATAGCTTTGACTATTCGGACTTTTGTTGGCAAGGTGATGACTCTGCTTTTCAAGATGCTGTCAAGATTTGTCATCGCTTTCCTCCCAAGAAGAAGGCGTCTTTTAATTTCAGGGCTGCTGTCTCCATCTGCATTTTGCAGTCCTAAAGTGGGCTATAGATGCTATAAATAAATACATCTAAGAGGGCATATAGTTGGCTCCATACTCCATGAACAAATGTCAAATTCCAATAATTGCCTAAGATCCTTTGGAGACATCCCACTACAGTGTACTTTTAAAACAATTATTACCATTCACTTTCAGGACATTTCACTGCAAAATGCATTAAAATGTAGATATATAAACATCTGTCTGAGAGTGGGGAGGAAGGATATATGTCACTACATTGAGAGATTGTACTGTGCTGCCAAGTTGCCCCAGTTTATGGCAATTCTATGAAAGAATTACCTCCAAAATGTCTTGTCCTCCACAGTCCTGCTCAGCTCCTCCAAACTCACGTCTGTGCCTTCCTTTACAGAGTTAATCCACCTCATATTTGGTCTTCCTTTTTTCCTGCTGCCTTCAACTTTTTCTAGCAATGTTGTCTGTTCTAGCAAATCTTGCCTTCTCTGATGTGCCCAAAGTAGGACAGCTTCTGTTTCATCATTTTTGTTTTGAGAGATAGTTCAGGATTGATTTGCTCTAGGACCCACTTGTTCATTTTTCTGGCAGTTTGGTGTGTCCACAAAGCTCTTCTTAAGCACCATATATCAAACAAATAAACTTTTTTCCCTCTCAGCTTTCTTCACACCCACACAAAGTAATAAAGAGCACAACAGTGTGGATCATTTTGATCTTGACCTCCAATAACACATCCTTACACCTGATACTATCTAGTTCTTTCATTGCTTTTTTCCATGTCTGTCTTATTCCAATTTCTTTGTACAAGGAATTTTTAAAAAATCTTCTAAAAAATCAGTTTGTTGTCATTACAGTTGTGTAGTTCTTATGTTCCCATGATTTTTGTCTTCTTGATCTTAAAACTGCACTCTGGCTTTTGCACTTTGTTCTTTCACTTTTATCAGAAATCCTGGCTATGATCCAATGATCCTGGCTGCTTTCCGCCAGTAACATGGTATTATCTGCATATCTTAAATTTATATTTTTCCACTGCTTCTTTATCTGAGTTTGATCCTTCATTCTTTATGATATGTTCTGCATAGTTTCTGGATTGTGAGAAGCTATTAATTCTTCTGAAATAAATGGGTACACCTCAGCACTTGGGTCTCCTGATGTGTAACCTTGTGAGGTTCATGTAAGCCCACTCTCTTGCAAGGGGTTGCCTTCCTTCTTACATCAGCAGTCTAAGACTCAGATTTTATATCAATAGTTTTATTCAGGTTAACATGAGTCATATATGCCAATCTTTTTGCACTGCGTCATCATTCCAATACTTAACATTATCCCAATGTGAACCATTAACAGGAACAGAACTGACAACAGGCATTAACAAGTCCTCCATGACAGTCAAAGAGGATCTCTTCCAACTAGTCACTGGGATTGATTGTGGAAAACCCATCCCACATTGGGCTCCCGTACTCTCTTGCCCGGATTTCTCTGGATTCTTGGGGGCAACTGGGTCTCCCTAGGGCTGTTCCCACGGGAACTCTGGCATCTTCTATTTTCCCAATAATTGACTTCTCAGGCAAACTGCTCTTTTTCCTTTTTATGAGTCTCTTGCTCAGCAGTCTCCCATCAGTATAGGGTTTTCCTCACTGGTTTCTCTCCACTCCCTCTGAGCTTCTTCTCTGGGTACCTTCAGAGTTACTCATTCCCCAGTCCTAGGGGCTTCTTTAACAATTTCCACCCACTCCTCCTCTCTTCGTTCTTCCACCACCACCCAATATTCCTCTGCTCCTCCCTCCTTTTTATCCTCTCTCTTTCCAGCCAAAACTACTCCCTCCTCTAGCTGTTTGTCTCCTGAGCTTTCTACTTCTCACCCTGTTTATTAGCTCCTTCATTTCAGTTGCAGTAATCAATAACATCTTCACTCAAGGAGACAGCACACCTCCTGTTTGTACTTCTGTCTCACAAACCTGCATTATGGACATGAAGATACTGTTAGGACATAATATGGTTTCTTATAGGCAAAGGTATTGGACAGGTGTCCTTTATATCGTGTCTGTTCTTAGGGAAAGGTAACTGGGTCCCCATGTTACTCATTGATTATCTGACCATCACATTGGTATGAGAGAGCATAAATACTGTATATTAGCTATCATACACACAGATACATACCTACCTTGCAGTTACCATATATGGACCATCAGCTTTGAGTGCATTGGGCATTCTTGCTGTGCTCCAACTATTCCTTGCATGTTTAAAATTGTAGTTTATAAATGATGGCTGGAAATCATTGCATATGTCAGTAAAGTTAGAAATGAATGGAATAAAAAGTTAGTCCTGTACAATTTAGAGCCTGACTACTCAGGAAGACAATGCTGGAAATACTACAGATCTGATTTTTTTTAATGTTTTAGATCATTCACCAAGCTTTGATAAAGGAATTGAAACCAGGTATTCATGCAAGTTGCCTGCTTAGCTGGGACAATCTAACGTTTCTACAAAGGAACTTAAGCCTTTATCGAAGGAAATTCTGTTACAAAGAAAAGTGTGGGACTTAAAGTCTTGACTGGAGTCTTTTAAAGCATAAGAATTGGATCACGCAAGTTGGACACATTCAAACAAGATCTCTTGGCTTCCTGGTGGATTGCAGTGCTTGCATTGCATGTACTTTGTATTGACTGTGTTGACTCTGTATTGAGTGAAATTTTGTGAACATTTAAAGTGGTATGGCACTTTAAGAATATGTAGTTACTGTGAATAATTCATAGTTGGTTAATCTGTTGGTTATAGTAGTTGGTTTTTTTGTTTGGTTACTTGAGTAAGCACCATGTTTCTCTTGCTTTGGGTGGATGTTGATTCAGCCTTCTATCCTTCCCAGGTCGGTAAAATGAATACCTAGCCCAGCTCGCTGGGGGGGTGCAATGTGTAGCCTGCATAATTACAGTAACTTGTAAACTGCCCAGCTTGAAGCACTATGGGGTGGTATATAAGCAGCACGCTTTGCTTTTTGCTTTGCTTTATGTCCTCTAAACTAGCATGCTGCTGTCACCTGCAACAGGGATGTCACTCTTATTTCCCATACTGAAGTAAAATTAAAGCTTCCATACTTGAATAGAGGGAGGTGTCATCTTGTCTTTTGTTGCTGAAACAGCAAAATATCTTGAGCCAGCCCTGTTCCCCACACCCCCACCCCAAAAGTGGGAGTGTGTACTTGCATCACGAAAGTAGGTAAAGTGTCAGGTAAACTGCTGCTTCATATTAAGTCTGTTCATTCAATTCTGAACAGAAACAAAAACGGAAACCTAGTTCAACTTTATCCATAGATCCCTTTTGTATACTCTTCATATGGAAAAGTTCAGTATACTAAAAATAAATAGTATCTACTTTGAAGTAATAGCTACTTCATGGGCAGAAACAAAAGGCTAAAAGATATGACACTGGAAAATGAGCCCCTCAGGTCAGAAGGCATCCAACATGCTACTGAGGAAGAGTGGAGGACAAGTACAAGTAGCTCCAGAGCTAATGAATCAGAAGGGCCAAAGCTGAAAAGATGCTCAGCTGCGCACACGCCTGGAAGTGAAAGGAAAGTCTGATGCTGCAAAGAAAAATACTGCATAGAAACCTGGAATGTAAGATCTATGAACGTTGGTAAACTGGATGTGGTCAAACATAAGATGGCAAGAATAAACATTGACATCCTGGGCATCAGTGAACTAAAATGG